ACCCCTGGGAGAAGTTACGAAGACTTTCCCGCTGTTGTGTTGGCTGCAAATCTTTTCTTCTTTCATGAGCTGATTTCTGTGTGCTGAGGCTGTTCCAACAGTGGGGTATTACCACTCTGAATGCTTTCTTCTAGGTGACCAAGCCTTCTTCTCCAAGAGATAGTCCCTACCTAGCCCACCAGACAGAGCCTTGTAGCAGGGTTTTGCCCACCTTTTGCTCTTTGTAAAGCCTCTCTTCTAAAGGGAGTCGCTGCAAGGTCGCTTTATGCCTACACTGGGTTGAGAGATGAACACCGGGTGATTACTACCATTGCCATGGCTTCATCGTTGGCAATGCCTTGGTCCTCTTGTTCCAGTCATCTGCTCTTTCTCGTACCAGTTCCAAAGACTAGGGGAAACATAGTGGCTTTGGGGGAGCAGGAAGCTACCCTCCCTGCCCCTCAGAAGCAATGGGATAAAGCACTCCTAGATGTTGCTTTTACATGAGATCAGTCGAGGATCCAGCTCTCATGGGTCTTTGCCATGGTTTTTGTAGCACCTCAACTGATTTTGAAAAATGCATTCGAAGATAGAAGCATGAGTAAAAGTCAAGTGAGGATAAAACTCCGCTGCTCTCTGCTCTGGAGTCCTGATGGAAAAAACCCAACTGTTTCCTTCTTCTGACCTCACTGTACCTGCAAGCCTCCAGCCAATGTAGATGGAAGAGTGTGAGTCTCCAGGCTGGACGGCAGAGACCAGTTGCTGCGTGCATGCTTCTTGTCCAGCCAGGCTTCACTGCAGGAATTATTTGCAGTGTCTGTGTCAGAAGTGGTGTTTGATTTTGCTGAGGCATGTGTCTACATACCGTGAGAAAATCCCTTCTTACCTTCCACACAACAAATGGCTTCTTGGCCTTGTTCCCTCTCCGTCGGTAATTGGCTTGTTGAGCTTTTGCTGTAGTTACAGGAAGTCTCCTTCACCGCTTGTGTTAACTTTCTTCCACAACATACTCTGTCTTAACCACAAAAATGCTCTTTATGCCTGTAATTAAAGCAGCCATCTTCTGGCTTCCTAATGTCCTGCTTCCTTATGCAACACGTCACCTACAGCATCTTCAGTTGTAGATTGCACTGTCCTCCTTTGCAAATCTCTTCATCCTCTTTCTTGGCTTCAGGTTTCTTGACCTCAGGTCCAGAGGTCTGCCCCATCCTTTTTGCTCTTCCAGTTCTTCCCATCTCTATTTTGCTCTCATCTTTGTGCCTTTTCTGTTCTTTCATCTGTTTCTGCCTCACCTGACTAAACACCCACCGCCATCTTTCCCACCTTGAAACTGTTCTTTGGTCCAAGGTGTTGTAGGTGGCTGACCTGTGTTGACTGCGCCTGAGTTGCTTTGTCACCTCCTTGGAAAGTGTGTGGGTTTGGGGCCCATCTTGGCGCTAAGGCAAGAGAGGCACAGCCCAGTGTCACTCTGCTGGAGATGGCAGAGTGCCGTGGTGCATGGAGATCCTCATGTCGATCAAAATGACCAGTTTCACCGTGTTAGCCCAGCTGCAAGGCAGGGTTGATTTAGCTTGGCCCCAGCACCGTGCTGACATAGTTGCATGGGATTAATTTCTGCTTGTCCTGCTGGTGCTACTTTGCACTGTGAACTGTTGCATTGGGTGGACCTGCTGGACGTGTTTTTTTTTTCTGCCAGGTGGTCTTCATCCTCATCTGGAGATATCTACTCTGAGTGCCTTCATTTCCAAGAGTGTTTCCTTCTGAATCCGCAAACTTGTGAATCCATCGTTTCCATTGCTGATAGCAGAATCTGCAAAAAACTCTTCATCTTCAGCTTGCGTTTCCCAAAGCTACTGTCTTGATGATGTTCCTCCAGAATGCAACACATTTCTGTTTGGTTTTGTGGCGTCTAGTATACTTGCAGGAGCTTAGTGTTCTATGCATGCAACATGCTTTCACAGAGCAAGCTTAGCAGCCTGGCTTTCCCATGAGTTTCACAGGAAACCAAAGGCAATACTGGCTCTGACGACAAAAGATCTGTGGACTGTGCTTAGTGCTGGATCCTGACCCTGCACTGCTCAGTGAGCAGAGGTGTCCTCTGTCCCACATAGCTGGGATAAGTCTTTTAAGCTTTGGGTTGAGTAGCTTTTGCTTAAGCCTTATTTCATAAAACTTGAATTGCAGGTTTGAGACTTTTTATCGAGAGGACGGGATTTCTTTCATCTCATTTGAACTCTAATGATATGCTCGAGTCTTTTCTGGGAGAGACAAGGAGAACTGGTAAATGATTGGGATGTTTGCCTGAAATGCTGCTTTTCATTCAAAGGTTTTGGGGAAGGTTGTTTTACCTTTTTTTTACCTTATTTCGCTGCAAGAATTTCGAAGGGATTTACAAAGTTGTTTCTTTTTAACTAAAAGTTTGTGCTGTTTGAAGGGTTTAGTCAAAACTTGGGGATGTTATGTAGTGGGGTTTGTGCATCAGGGGATCTCGGTTTTTTGAATACACATGGTCCTGCTGCCCTTTCCTGGTATTTTTCTTTAGGAGCTGAAACCACTCCTGAATTATTTCCTGCAAACCCCACCTCATCTTTCGTTTTTCTGTTTGGATGCCACATCTTTCTAGTAACAGGGAGGAGGAGAGCACAACCAGAGCCCTTGAGGCTGAAAACCTTGCCAGACGGGTCGTTTGTATCCCACCTCTCCCTTGGAGGAGACGGACTCAGGGCGGCTGGGCTGGCTCGGGAGCAAAACTGACAGAGCAGCCTTCATGCCTGTGAACGCCTTTTCGATATGCAATTGTGTGATTTTGAAATGTCATATTAATGCAGTGAGTGACAGGTCTTGCCTTGGAGAATTTCAAGCCAAATACCCAGACCTGTGTTGAACTGCAGTGAAGTTTAGGTGTTGGAAGAGTCCGCCATGGTGGCATGCATTACTGAGCACAACAGCAGATGCTAGTAGTTGGTTTGATTTCCTACAGAAGAGGTTCCACATCACCTTCCTTCAAAGGCTTATAGGGTACTTTGCAGGTACAGGTTTGGTCTGAAACAGTCCCACCTGCCGTCAGTTGGGAATTTTCAGGTTTTTTCCCTTTCCATTGATTTTTCAAGACCCCTTCCTACAATATTGATGCTGAAGCTCTGTGTCACCCTGTGCTTGTCTTGCTCCGGCCTCACGCACCTGAGAGTTGGTTTCTCTTTCCCCGGTGTTAACTGAACTGCCTTGCTTCTCGCCCTGCAGCTACCTCCTGCAGCTGCAGATCTCAAAATACCTTACAAAGGAGATAAAAGTCTTTAGTCCTATTTTGCAGATACCTGGGGCAACAGCAGCGGAGTGGCTTGTCCCAGACCACCCAGGATGTCTGATGTTGGTGGCAGGAGGAGGAATGAAGATCTGGTCTTCTTGAGCCCTCATCCCAGTCCTCTCCTCCCCATGAAGCCTACTTCCCATTTTTAATGGATTAAAAATTCCCGTTCCTACTGTAAAAGTCCGTCTTTGACATCTACATAAATAGTTTGTACTGAGGTTGTTTTGGGAAGATGGAAAGAAAGCATAACCAAGAAGAGGAGCCCTTGCTAGAGGGTGCTCTGCCAGCAGCTCCCTCATTTCTGTTTGTAGGGGCTGTAGGTTTTGTTTCCTTGATCTCCATTTATCTCAGAGTTATGTGAGGAACCCCATCAGCAAGTCCACTTTCCAGTCCCTGATGGGCAGAACAAGCCCTTGGGGACTTTGGCTGTGCTAGAGGATATGGCCAGTATTTGGGAGCAAATTACATGGGTAGCTTGATGAAGAAGTTGGCTAGCTTGTCATCGTTGTTCTTTAAAGGTGGAAATGTTAGGACTAAATGGAATTGTGCCTACCTGGGGTGGGACTAGTAAAATACCCAATTTGTGGTAGAGCCTGGCTTCGTCTCACAGCAGGATGGTGAATTTCTGGAGAGCAGCTTTGATCACAGCTGCAGCTACTTCTGTCTTTGGATAAGGTGTAACTGAGCTGGTTGAGGTGCCCTGTGTGGCATCATTTCAGGGTGAGTTCCTGAAAAGGAGACCTTCCAAACAGGCAGAGCTGGAGCTGCCCCTGATGGGACTAGGCAGGAAGAGCCACTATTGCAGAATGGGCACCATAGGTTTCCTGGGCTAAACCCCACCTTTTGGGCTCTCTGTGCCGTCTGCAGCATCCAGCCGAGTTGGGCAAGTGGCTCTGTGGGGATTGTGTGCCTTAATCCCATCCGGGAGTCACAGAGGATCCTGGCTTTCAGGCTTGCAGCCATCCCAATGGCAGGTGCTTCTCCCGCTTCCTCCACTCCGTCTGGCTGGCTGGAGCTGACACCCATTTTCCCTGGTCCTGACCCCGGCGGGCACCTCTCCCTGCCGGGACCGCGGGTGCTGCAATCCTCGCTCGCCCCTGAGACACTAAACACCCCCCCCAGGAAAGCTCTGCTAATGCTGTCCATCATGAATAGCTCTAATCCACTCTTTATTCAGCGCCTTGATGAATTTAAGGCTGCACCCTTGCTGGCATCTCCTCCAGCGGAGAGTATCCCATTAGAGGCGTGACTCCCTGGCTCGGCGTTCCATGAACCGCTGGGCCATCACTCATCGAGGTTTCTGAACCAAATTCAACACGGGAAGTTTTCATGGCGCTTGTGAGAAGAAGATGACTCTTCGGTGTTGACCAAATAGACGAGCTGGCTCACGCCTACTCTTCCTAATTACAATTCTTGACAAAGAAATTATTAGGAAGATATGAACCATATAATGTTTTGGCAGGGTGCTGGGTGGGAGTCATCATTTCTGCTGCTACAGTATGTTTAAAAAAAAAATTAAAAAAAGAAGGACAATAAAGTAGGCTTTTTTGTTGGAAAAGAAGATTTCATGTTATCTGTGTTTGCAGGCTTTCTGGCTCATATGCTGGAGGAATCCTTGCTGCGGGGGTGTTTTCATTTTCTCGTCTAACATGGCAGTGGTCCATTGCGGCGGAGGTTTTTAGCTTAAACAATCTGTTTGTGGGGCTGCTGATGGCTCTCACCGCGCATTTTGAGGAGGCATCCACTGCAAAAGAGAGATCAAAGGTAAAACACCTCAAACAAAGTGAATAGTTCTTTGTTTTTTTTCAATCGGTTATCATGTCTGTTTAATCTCCTATCCATTTAGTGCTGATTTAGTTTTGTTTTAACAAAGAAGGCCAAAATTTTGGGACTGGAATCAACACCTGTGCTGGGTGGTGTCCATCCCTGACCAAGCTGGATGTTCAAAAGTGCTGAACATTGAAAAACCTGTCCACTTCGCTTAAGGGTTGAGTTGGGATGTGTTGGATGGGTTTGGGGTTGGTTTGTTTAATACACACAGTGTGGAACCAGGAAAAGCAAAATAGTTTTCATCTAAACATTTTAGTGTTTGATTTCCTGCATCAAAGGCTCAAACTAGGCTGTGGCTGCTCAAGTTTTTGTTTTCAGAATTGGTATTTTTCCTTGGGGTAAATAGATACATTTTACAGAAGACTTCATCTAGGCAGAAACCCAGGTTTCTGCTGAAAAACAGAAATGACCAAATTTTCAATCGGTTCTTTTCTGAAATTAAATATGCCCTTAAAATAATGGCATTGTTAAATACAGAGACTTTAGATTTCATGCTATATTCTCTACTTTATAAACAGACTAGGCAGCCAAATGATACTTTTACTCAGCAGTCTTGTTCTTTCTACTTCTATTTGCCTGAACATCTGATCTCTTCTCCTCTCACAGACTTACCTGCTGTGACTCCTGTAAATTGTTTGAATAAAAGGATTTTTGTCGGGCTAGGCTAGAATTTCAGGAGTCCGCAGTGGTAGTTTACTCAGCTTCGTGAGTTCTCAAATAACATGTTTTATCAGTGGTTATAGAGACCTTGTTTCACCATTGGATTTTTTTCTTTTCTTTTCTGGTGAGTGCTGTCCCAAGATCCCTACAATCTGAACTCCACAAAGACGAAGTTGGGCATTTTCCAACCTACTTCGATGTTTCACATGCCAAATTTCCACTGGGATTTTCAGATGAGACTTTCAGAAGCAGTTAAGGAGCTTGTTTCAATGGTTTTGGGGTGTCTGGCATCCCATGCTTTGAAGAAGACAGGCTGCCAACAGCAAACTCACAGCGCTTTTCATAAATCAAATGGCCATGCAAACATCTTCAGGGGTGTGCTTGGAGTTCATTGATATACTTGAAAAATTACTGAGGTTGTTCTGATTCCCATGGGGCAGCTCTGAAGCCCACAAACGTTTTTCAGAAGTTATGGCAGGTGTTTCCGTGGCAAGGCAGCGTTCAACACTGAATGCTGAGCAGTTAATTAAAAATTACGAGGTGATCCCATCACCACGCCAAGGGCAGTGTTTGCATCTCACACACCATCCTCACCAGCGACTGAAATAAGCAGGGGTGATGCTTTGATGATAGATGAAGTGCCATCCTCCTTGGGGATGGCCAGGGAGGTGAGGACAGGTTGTCTGCTCCTGTCCAACCATGTCTGTGAGACTCTGGTGGCTTTTTGCTCGCTGAGGAGCTGCCCTGGGGCACGGCTTCAGGTTATAACATGGACCCAGTGGTCAGTGATGGTGGAGGAGGAGGAAGCAAATTCAGAGGAGGAGCAGTGGCCAGTGGTGTGCATGGCGCTGACCCAAGGTTTCGATATGGAGTTGCTCTTGGAGCCTTGTCCTCCCTCACTGAACGAAGAGGTCTCGGCACTGGTTTGATGGTGTCGAGACAGAGCAGAGCATATGGCAGCATGGGGCAGAGAGAGGCTTTCCTTAGTGTCAGCCAGGGATGGCCGTGGTGCCACTAACAAACCTGTGAATAATCCTCAATGAGTACCAGAAATACCCTGCACCATGCTGCATTGTCTGAGTATGTTACCGGTTTTATTAGAAAGCTCTTTCAAAGGTGCTTGAAAATGAGCTTCTAGACTACTGAGGGATAACATATTTAATTTCCTTCGCTTAGGAAGTTTGTGTAGCCCTGACTTGAGCCTTCTGTGCCTGAAGAAGAGGAAAAAATCGTTCTTGTTCTATAAAATGAGGTCTCTGTACGTAATGGCATTGTTTTAGGGTATGGCTTCTGAAAACTTCACATCATTCAGAGTTAACTGCTGAGCAGTCTCCCATGTGCAGCAGGGATTCAGGAACTGGACCCCATCGCATCGTTACGACATGATGGTGCTGCAGATGATCTCTGTACACATGGAGTCAGAGCTGTTGCGCTGGACACTTCTTAAAAGATGTTTTCTGTTAAACGAGTGAAATGTCCCTGTAAATAATCAAAAATAGCCTGTGTTGGCTGTGTCACAATTGACCGCTGCTCACCGATGCATTTGCCTTTCTCCTGTAACTGTGCTGTGGGCTGCACTGGAGCTCTTTTGGCCTCTGGATGCTTTTGCAAACTGTAAAGGGTAATTGTGAATGTGTTTGGTTTTTTTCCCCTTTCAGATCTCTAAACTCGGTGCCTTTTGCTGCGGGCTCAGTTTGTGCAATCAGCACACGATCGTGCTTTATATCGCTTGCATCGTGCCTTGGGTTCTCTCCCGGCTTTTCAGAAAGACGGTAGGTATTTTGCTGACTCAAACCTCTGTTTTTGGAAGGCAGCGAGTAATTGTTCCCTCCAAGCACTTGTGCCACTTCGGTGTTGCTGTACAAACAGGGACGGTCAGTGGTCTGTCTAAACTAGTTGGTCATTACCCACTGGCGTTACAGTCCATCCATCTGACACCAGAGCCACTGATCACAATGTAGGGGCTTTGCTCACTCCAACAATCTGCAACCTGCCCTGGCACTGGAGCGCTCTGCCCCAGCTACTTGCAAATACCCTATGAGCAACAACGAGACTGATACTAGGAAAGAAGAGGACATTCAATGACCTACCAAATGGGAAAGCAGATCAATACCTGTTGGTGAGAAGTCACAGGCATGTGCAGTCTGTGTGCGCTGCTTCTCCTACCTGATGGCACTCGCTTCCTCGTGCCATCAGCTCATTTGGAGATGATCAAATGAAAGCTGTGAGTGCTCGTTGCAGAGCATTTTGCAACTGCTGTCGACAGCTGAAGGCCCAGCCACAGCAATAAGGGTGCAGATGCTTGTCTCCAGGGGGAAGTCCTCTTCAGCATCTCCTTGGGAAGTGCCTGTAGCTCTGATGCAGGCAGGACTTGAAGGTCCTACAAGAGATCAGCTCTCAAGTCAAGAGTGCCTGGCTTGTGCCAGCTGAAGACCAAAGGAAGGCTGACCTTCAATGAAACAGCAAGCCCCTGATCCGATCAAATATGTCCCTTGAATCTCCTACCAGAGATCCCATTCTCAAGATGTCCCTCCTTCTTACACCTCATTTATTAAGCATGCTTGTTGTGCAAGAAGGTGAAAACACCTTTTTCCGTGCCTGGCTTATGAAGGTTATGTGCCTTGGTCTGGATGAGGCTCCGAGTGGTGTTCGGGGGCCCTGCAATTGTCTTGTCTTCTGTAGGTGGTCTTCTATGAGCCCATGCATCAGGCTGGATGAAGATGTGTTGTAGAAGTTCTGCTTTGCCCTGGAAACAGCCGCACATCTCAATGGTGCAGGTGCTTTGATCACTTTACAAATGTCCCTGAGAAGCCTCCACCTATTCCTCCTCTCTCTCTCTGTTTTGCCCCCCTGAAGGTGAGAGTTTGGCAGGTTTCTGCTGGGCCAGTCCTGCCTGTGTTTTTCCACCCTTGACCTGATAAACCGGGTGTGGCTCTGAGTAATGGCAGTAAGCTTGGAGTGAAGGTGTGAGCTGCAAGAGAGAAGATGCAACTCGGACAGGCTTGGTCCAAAATCTGTTCAGCATCTATAGCAAAACCCTTTCTGACTATATGTTTTCTTTAACACAATGAAGACTCCTGCAATGTATTTGTGTTCTTTAAACAGAGCTCTTTTTTTTTTTTTTCAACTGAGAAGGCCTGGAGAGACCTCTGGGATTTCCAGCAAGGACAGTCCTGTGCCAATATAATATCCCTGGGAAATACTTCAGACAGCCCAGTGGTGCCTGCTGCAGAAAACCGCCTAATGGGAAGGATATTTGATGGAAAATAGTGCCTTTTTAAGTAAAAAAGAGCCAGATTTCTTCTGAAGGAACTGTGGCCACCACCATTATCAAGCTGCTTTTTCTGCTCTGTAGATCATCACTCTGAATGGAGTCCCTTCCCCATAACCCCAACTGCTGAAGAAGTGCTTTGATTGACAGGGCAGTGGCTAAAGATAAAGCAAGCGTGCAATATTCTAGGGTGGGATTTTCCAAAGCACTTAAAGGAGTTAGGCACAGAAGTCCCTTTGAAAGTCTTGTCTTCCTGACCCCTTAGGCAGTCTGGAAAATCCCACCCCAAAAGTTGGCCTATCCAATTTAGGCAGTGTAATCATGATGAAGTAAATGGCAAAACTGACTCCTGATGATGGTGATGGTGTGTGTAGTTGTACTAGAGCAGCATTTTTTTTATTTTTTTTTTTTGCCAGATGGAATACCAGCCAACTCTTAATCGCTGCAAAGTGGGTTATCTCAGCCTTGCAGTGCTTCAGCCATCTATGCATGTCATGCCATGATTTAAATGTGAAAGATGCAATGAGTATGATACTCATGAGTCCTAGCTAATATTATTTGCTTCACTTAAATTTCACCCTGCCATGCAAAGGAGATCAGTTTGATGCAGTTTCCTAGTAATCCACAAAATCATAAGGTTTAACATAGCATTTTGTAGGGACTTACTATAAATTGAGAGATCAGCTCTGTGTAAATATATTTGATGTTTTTTCTTTATCTGTTCTTGAAGTTCCAGCGTGATTAAACTAAAATAAACATTGTTATGCAATATGACATATTTTGGTGCAGGAATTGTCCCTAGGCCATTTGCTGAAGTTGGGTTTATGCTTCTTGGCTGGTTTGCTGCCTTATCTCTATCTGCCGGCTTCGTCCTACCTCAATAGAGCCCGTTGGACATGGGGAGACCAGACGACTTTTCAAGGATTTTTGACCCACTTTCTCAGGGAAGAATATGGGACATTCAATCTGGTAAATAAGAGTCATTTTCTAAATTACTTTCTTTGAACTTATGCAATAGCAGAACCTTTCTATTTGTGATGGTTAAAGGCTTGCAGGGGAAGAAATTGAAAACGTTTTATTTTTTAAAAATTTATATCTAATTTTGACCTTCTGATCTGTCAGGTTTTCTGGGAGTGGATCACATAGCTGGGAAAGCAGAGAAATAATTCTCTTTGCCTTTACAGGGTGAGCTGTATTATTTACTGGGAGCTATACAGGTGTCTCATATTTGTAAGAGCTCAAAGAATAAACTGTGCTAGAGGGAGATGGTGACATCAATTTTGTGTTTTTCTTGTTTTGAGACAACTGTCTTATCTTTTTATTTTAAACTCAGCTAAGAGTTTAAACTCAGCTAAAGAGGTGGCAAGCAGTTTTCATTGCTGTACCTTTGAAAAAGATTCCTCTTAACTTACTTCTTACTAATACTGAATTTAAATGCATGGTAGGTTTGAGGGGTCTCAGAAACCTCTGAGTTGAGTTATTGACAGGTCTGTGCTCTTGCCAAGGGAGGGAGGTATTGGATGGTTGCTTGCAGAGCGTAAGCTTTGCATCTGCTTCCTCCTGACCTAGAAGTTTGGCTCTGGCCACCCAAGGAAAACAAGCACCTAGCACCCCTTCTGTCCTTTGTGCCTCAGAGGTTTCAGTGCAGAGAGCAAATCACACCGCTGGGGGAAAAAAGAGAAGGTATGGCTGACATATTGTGTCACTCCTTGGGGTCCTGAAGCCCCCGCATCCAGCCAACGTGACGCAGTGAGCACCGTTGCCATTCCATTACAGCCTTCTCGGAGAGCCGGGCGGCTGTAGGATGTGAGGCAAAAGGCTTGATA